GGTATCTATCCATGAAGAACTGGACTAGCAATCATCCAGTCCATCTAACCTAGGGCCAGATTGTAACTATTGCCTGATAGTAGAACCCAGTGAGTTCTACTGCTGCAGACACTGCTTCAGAATCTCAGCTTTCATTTTAAAATACATATTTCTGGGCCTCGTAGTTTGACGATAACCTTGAAAACATGAATCAAGCATTTGAGTCTGCAGAAAGCTACTGATTCAAGCTCTGAGAAGTGTGCACTGCCCCATTCAGCTCTATTGAATGTTATCCTGGAAATCTAAAGATAACCTTTAAATGTCAAATGTCAGTAATTGCTAACTATTTCACTGCCAATTATTTTAATAGAAGCATGCAGTTAATGTGCTTCCCCCATTCCCAAATGGCCTCTTACACCTCCCTCGGTGTCAATGGCCCCAACTGGTCCCTATCTTGCTCACAAAATCTTCAGCTAGCACTCTGAAAACATCTACAATACAGTTATGCGTTGTGAGTGCAAACGTCTGTGGCTTGTTAAGAGTGAAAATGAGGAGACAGTTGAAAATAAAATGCATTTAATGTCCAAATGAGTAACACAGTACTGAACACACTATTCATTTTCATATTTAACTCATTTTAAAACCTCCATTTCAAAATGTAAATGAAGCTAGTGCAGAATATCTAGAATGGCTCAATCAAGAGACCTTGTAGCAGAGTTCAGGACCAGCTTCTTAAGGAATTCTTGGGACATTATCAACATGTGAAAGGCCTGTTATCCATTCCTCCATTCCCCCATCACAAGGGTGGGATTGGTGCCCTAGAGGTGAAAGATTCAGTATCCCATTGCTGCTGCGGATTTTCACTCCATGTCAGCACTCTCCTCAGATTCCGTCAGTGATTTCCTGTCTGTCATTGCATCAAATTTAAGTTCCACTTCTGCACCTTTAAGGCCCACCTACGTCTCCATTCTGATTTCCTTCCATTCTCCTGCAGTCCTACAAGTTCTCTCTACTACTCTCAGCATCTCTCTTTTTCCACTCTTCTTTGGGCTTTCCGTCCTGCTGCCCTGTATGCCTAGGATACTCTTCCTGTCCTCACATGCGAAGCTTCCTCCGTCCGCACCTTAAGATCAGTTTCTTCCAGGAATCTTTTTTAGCTGCAATGTATTGGACCCCTCATCAGCAGGGCCCTACCAAATTCATGGTCCATTTTGGTCAGTGTCATGGTCATAGGATTTTTAAAATGGCAAATTTCATGATTTCAGATATTTAAATCTGAAATTTCGTGGTGTTATAATTGTAGAGTATTGCTACTCTTATTTCTCTGTAGCTGCTGGCAGCAGCATTGCTTTCAGGGCTGGACAGCAATAGAGCGATGGCTGCTGCCCAGGAACCCAGCTCCAAAGATAGAGCTACAACCAGCAGCAGTGCAGAACTAAGGATGGCATGGTATAATATTGCCACCCTTACTTCTGCGCTGCTGCCTGCAGAGCTGGGCCCCTACTCATCAGCTGCCACACTCTGGCCATCCAGATCTGAAAGTAGCGATGCAGAAGTAAGGGTTACGTGGGTATGGTATTATTGCCCTTATTTCTGCACTGCTCCTGGAAGGTGAGGTGCTGCCTTCAGAGCGGGGCACCTAGCCAACATTACAACCACTGTTTTCCAGTTGCCCAGCTCCGAAGGCAACATAGAGGTAAAGATGGCAGTACCATGACCCCCCTAAAATAACCTTGTGATCCTCCTGCAACTCCCTTTTGGGTCAGGGCCTCCAATTTGAAGGCACAGTGGTCTCCCCCGTGAAATTTGTATAGTATAGGGTAAAAGCACACAAAAGGCCAGATTTCACAGGAGGACACCAGTTTTCGTGGTCTGTGATGTGTTTTGCATTGCTGTGAATTTGGTAGGCCCCTACTCATCAGTCGTCTTCCACACGTGTGTTATGACCCTGGCTTGGGGTTGCCTTTGTTAGCTTGTGGGGATAGGGACTTTGTTTTGTTTGGCTTAGGTCAGATACCATGTCCATTAATGCAGCTGTATAATGAATGATCTTCTGATTCTCCTGAACTATCCAGTTTTGCCAGCATGGGCTTGGCTAGTAGTGTTTTAGAGGTGAAAGGCTCCATAATCCCTCTGACTCATCCAGTCTCCCACCCTTCCTCTTTAACTGCCCCTCCCTGCCCCTCTTGTGTGGTGGTGCTGTAGCTGCTGATCTAGTGTTAAAAGGCCCCACACTATATCCTGTGATTCTCCCTGATTCCTTCCAGCTCTTCAGGATGCTTGGATTGGAACCCTAGAAGCTAAGGACAAGTGCAAGGTTCCTGACTGCCCTGAGCCAGCCAGTTCTCCCGATAAAGGGCTGAGTTGGAACCAGTGAACTACAAAGAAAAAAAGAGTAGGTTTGTGCTCTGTTTTGCTTCTCTCTGCGCATATTGGAGTCTAAATTTTTTTTGTGAAGAATCAAGTCGGGATTTTTTAATTCCCCCAAATAAAGGTTTATTTTTTAGCTTATTTTTTACATTAGAATTTCAGGTCTCATTTACACAGTTGCATGTGAAAGATTCTGTGGATAACTGTAGAACTAGTAGGATTATAATGTAACTATCAAGGCAGTGACATCTGAATAACTGAGATGGAATAGGCACCTTTTGCAGATCCTCACTGAAGGAGTAAGGATGTTGAATTTTGCACAAAACCAATTCTTCTAATTTTTTATTAACCAAAAAACCCTCAACTCCCCACCATGACAACCACCTGCACACAAAAAAAAAAACCCCAAAAGAGATTGAATAGTCTGCTTAAAAATCTTTTCCAGGTCTCTTACCTACAACCCTCCTTTCCACTGAAAAGATAAGCCTAGTGTGCATGAGCACTGGACTGAGACTCAGGAGACCTGGATTCTCCTCTGAGCTCTGTCACTGATCTGCTGGGGACCTTGGGCGAATCACTTTGCCTCTCAGCACCTCAGTTTCCTCATCAGTAAAATATATCCATTTCAGATCCTTTTAAAAGCACTTTGAAATGTAAAGATGAAAAGTACTATCTAAGGCCGTGTCTTTGCTTACTGCACTGAAGATGAATGTTCTGGCGTTCGATTTAGCGGGTCTTGAAAAGACCTGTTAAATCGAATTCTAAGGGCGACCCCAGTCGATGCTGGTACTCTTTGATTTGCAAGAAGCAAGGGAAGTCAACAGGAGCACTTGATCCTGTCAACCTTCCACTGTGGAGACGGCGCCAAACTCAGCTTAAGGTACATTGACACCAGCTATGTTATTTACGTAGCTGGAGTTGCGTACCTTAAGCCTACTCCCAGGCCTACTATAGACCTGGCCTAAGAGCTAGGTGTATTATTATTCCAGATCTATCTAAGCTAGCTTTGTGAAAAAAACAAAATGCCTTTCAGACCTGGCTTATGTGTCATGAAGGAGCAGAGGGCAGAGACCCAGTTTTTTTCCTTAGCAGATCATCTATAAGCTGAAAGGCACCAGATCTTGTCAATGTGATTTTAAGTTGTTTAAGTTGTTTTAAACTAAAGTAAATTAAAACTAAGCTAGTTTACATGTTGTTTTTTAAATATGTTTAAAAATGACCTAAGCAAAGACAGCCTGGCTCTCCTTAAACTATACAGTCCCCTTTTCTTGGCCAAGTCATGACTTTCTTGACTTTTGTGGGTCTGTCCTCTCCTGGTTCCCTCCCAATTGCTTTGGTCATTCATTCAGTGTCTTTTTCACTAGGATGACTCTTCCTTTCTCTATCATACCATAAGGATACCACTGGGCTACATCCTTAACTCACTCCTCCTCTCCTCCTACATACACCTTTTTTGGGGATTTTATCTATTCAGGTGGCTTCACTACCATGTTTATGACAATGACTTGCAAATCTACCTCTCCACTCCTGACCAGTCTTCCTCCATTCAGTCATACATCTTAGTCTATCTCTTTTACATTTTCCTGTGAATGACTCAGTACCAAATGAACATAGCCAAAACGGAACTGTGAACTTCCTTCTGAAACCATCCCCATCATTCCCCCATCACTTTCTTTATAACACTGCCACACTTCAATCACCCAGACTCACAATCTCTGTATCCTTTCTAACTCCTCTCGCTCTTGTCCCACAGTTGGAGGTTGTGTCTATATCCTACTGTTTTTTATTCCTTAACCTAAGTTCAACCATTCTCACAATCCACACAGGTAAACTTGCTGTTCATTTGGGTAACTGGTTACCCATTTAAATAGCTACACTCTTACATCCCTACCTGACACAAGCACCAATCACTGCAGAACACAGGTATTAAGATTATCTTCCTGGCCTATTGCTCTCTCCATGTCACCTTCCTCTTCAAATCTACCCATTTGCTCCCCATTGTCCACCCCATCATGTTCAAGCTTCTTGTCCTCCCTTAATGCACTTCTGTAGCTCCCTTCTTATCTGCCCTAAGGAAGTTAAAATGCGGTTATCAGGCTAATCGTATAGTTGGTACAATTTGCTTATGCTTATCTGATAGTTGACTAGTCACTTACATCCCTAATCCTCCCTTGTCACCTGTTGCATTGCCCTCTGTGGCATCATTGATGCCAACATAAGATTGGCTGTACCGTAGGGACGTTTCAGAGCATGATTTTACATTCCTGCCCATCCTGACTAATAGCCATTGATGGATCTATCCTCCATGAACTTATCTAATTCTTTTTCGAATCCAATTATAGTCTTGGCCTTCACAACATCCTCTCACAAAGAGTTGCACAAGGTGGACTGTGCATTCTGTGAAGAAATACTTACTGTTGTTTTTAAAAACCACCTGCCTATTAATTTCATTTGGTGTCCCCTAATTCTTGTGTTCAGAGAAGGACTAACATTTTCTTATTTACTTTCTTTCCACCCATCATGGTTTTATAGACCTCTATTATATCTCCCCTTAATCATCTCATTTCCAAGCTGAAAAATCCCAGTCTTATTAATCTCTCCTTATGTGGCTGATGTTTCATACACTGAATCATTTTTGTTGCCCTTTTTTGAACCTTTTCCAAATCCAGTTCTTTTTTGAGACAGGGCAGTCAGAACTGCACACAGTGTTCAAGATGTGGGTGTACCATGGATTTATATAAAAGCAGTATTTTCTGTCTTATTATATATCCATTTCCTAATGATTCCCTATATTGTTAGTATTTTTGACTGACCCTGCACATTGAGTGCATGTTTTCAGAGATATATCTACAATAACTCCCAAGATCTTTCTTGAGTGATAACAGCTACTTCAAGCCCCATAACTCTATATGTATATTTGGAATTATGTTTTCCAATGTGCATTACTTTGCATTTATCAGTGTTGAATTTCATCTGCCCTTTAGTTGCACCATCACCCAGTCTTGCAAGATCCTTTCGTAGACTTTTACAGTCTGCTTTGGACTTAATCTGTCTTCAGTAGTTTTGTATCATCTGCAAATTTTGCCACCTCAATGTTTACTCCCTTTCCAGATCATTTAGTGAATATGTTGCACAGTACTGGTCCCAGTACAGATCCCTGGGAAACACCACTATTTACTGTTCTCCATTGTGAAAACTGACCATTTATTCCTGCCTTTTGTTTCCTATCATTTAACCAGTTGTTGTCCCATGAGCGGACTATGTCTCTTATCCTATAACAACATATTTTATTAAGAGCCATTGGTGAGAAACCTCCTCAAAGGCTTTCTGAAAATATAGGTATACTTTATCCACTGGATCACCCTTTTCCACATGCTTGTTGGCCCCCTCAAAGAATTTTAGTAGATTGTTGAGGCATGATTTCCCTTTACAAAAATAATGTTGACTCTTCCCCAACAAATCATGTTAATCTATGTTTGATAATTCTGTTCTTTACTATAGTTCCAGTCATTTTGCCATGTACTGTAAAGTCAGGCTCAGCAGCCTGTAATTACTGGGATCATGTCCGGAGCCCTTTTTAAAAAGTTGGCATTACATTAGCTTATCCTCCAGTCATCTAGTACAGAATAAGGATGTTAACTGACATATATTTGTGTAAATGTGTAATCACTGGATTTTTTTAGTGGTAACATGTTTACATGTGGGGAGGGGGGGAGAGAAGAGGCAGGAACCATTGCTCATATAGAGCTGGCTTTTAAACTGGTTCTCTGTGAGCACTGGCTCCTGCTTCTTCTCCCCACCCCCGCCTCTGATAAAGAGGCAGCAGCACGGGGTGTGGGAGGAGGGACAGGCGGTTCCATGGGAGTTGTTACGCACAAGGAGTTGGCTTGAAAGCTGCTTCTCCTGTGTACCAGGTCCCACCTGCCTGCCCACCCCCTGCACTGCTGCCTCTCTATCAGAGGTAGCAGCACGGGGGAGGGGGCAAGTGGCTCCGTGGGAGTTGGCATGCGTTGATTCCCAACAGGCACCGGCTTCTGCCTCCTCTCTCTTTCTGCCTCTGATAGACAGCTACACATTAACATTCCTAGTACAGAAGCTGATTTAAATGACCAATGTGGCCTTTTGCTTATTCTGTTCTTCCACAAACATCCCATGTATTTAGTTCCACACCACGCATGTGGAATGCCTTCCCTCTTGTCAGTTCCTAAAGTCATTAACTTATCCTTCTTCAAATATCTTGTCAGGTCAGTTCTACTTTGATACCTTCTGGAACTGCCAACCATTAATGACCAAGCAGGACCCAGTGGAGGTCATATAATTATGTATTTACATACTTTTAAACTAATTCATCAGATTCATATTATCAGCTTCTTACTCTCATCCTTCCTCCCTGTTTCCTTTATCAAGGAGGAGAATTAAAAAAAATCTGGAGAAGTAGACAAACCCACAAAGCAACTGGGAAGATGAGGAATGGTTTAGAGCAGGTGTGGGGAACCTAAGGCCCATCCAGCCCCTGGCCTGCCTGGACCTGGCTCCCGAGGCTCAGGTCTCCCTCCCAGCATTGGGGAACCTTGCCTCATAGGTCATGTGCTCCAGCCCCCTAATCATTTTGGTTGCCCTCCGCTGGATCCTTTCTAATCCATCCACATCCTTTCTATAATGGGGGCCCCAGAACTGGACACACTACTTCAGATGTGGCCTCACCAGAGCCAAATAAAGGGGAATAATCACTTCTCTAGATCTGCTGGCAATGCTCCTCCTAATGTAAACTACTATGCCATTCTTGGCTATAAGGGCACCCTGTTGACTCATATCCAGCTTCTCATCCACTGTAATCCCCATGTCCTTTTCTGTAGAGCTGCTACTTAGCCAGTTGGTCCCCAGCCTGTAACAATGCTTTGGATTCATCCATTCTGTGTGCAGGACCCTACACTTGTCCTTGTTGATCCTCATCAGATTTCTTTTGACCCAATCCTCTAATCTGTCCAGGTCACTCTGGACCCTATCCTTGCCCTCCAGCATATC